AGATTATAAATTTAAAACTGTTCAAGTTCTCTTTCTGAAAATTTTCACACATATTTATTGTTGCTTTAAAAACATGTTTAAATTTTGTTGCATGGAAAATAAAGAAATTTAACATGTGGTTTTGTACGCTCGGGCATAATAATGCGCGTCTGATTGGCGACCAATGTTGCGGACATTGTATGTATCTGCAGAAAAAAAAAACTAAACATATTCGTAATCTGTATGAGTGTTGTGAAGATTGATATCAGATTCGGCCAGAAAAAAAATTTTTTACAAAAAGACGCTATATTAAATGTTGATTGTCGATTTTTCCTACGTTTTTTTCCTCTTCAGCAAGTTATAAAAAGCAGAAAAAAAAATTTTGTACTCAATTCTGGTACCAACAGCATTCTAGACAAAATAGAATACCTTCTTCATTAACTGCAAATATTCTTGCCATCAAAATATTCACAATTTCAATTTAATTTAATTTAATTTAATTTAATTTAATTTGTTTTAATTTTATTTGCAGCAATTTATTGAAAAACCATTTGAATAATGTAGAACATTCTACAGAGATGAATAATGCAGAACATTCTACAGAGGTGAATAATGCAGAACATTCTACAGAGGTGAATAATGCAGAACATTATACAGAAGTAAATAATGCAGAACATTCTACAGAGGTGAATAATGCAGAACATTCTACAGAGGTGAATAATGCAGAAAATTATACAGAGGTGAATAATGCAGAACATTATACAAAGGTGAATAATGCAGAACATTCAATAGAGGAAATCAAGAAGCAACTTTGCACGAATTTATCTGTGCTTCCTGTAAGTACCTATTGTTAGTAGTAATGTATGGTTGGACGTGTGATATGAGTCCCCAATACCATGCGACTCTCAGCGGATCGCAATGGTATGACTTTCCACACGTACATATGCCCCGCTTATAGCTCTTCCGATGAGATCGTCATCGGTAAGAGCGTCGATCGGGGCAAAGAATATTGTTGTCGAATTTGTTTATATCTTTAAGTCGTCGCGGTCGAGCGCTCGCGAGAAAACGCGGTTGATTAGTGTGCTGCCATCTTTGGTAGAAGCACACGCGGCCACCACATGTAATCTCATGTATTAAAATTTTATTTTTTATGTTTGCAGGACGAAATAATTATACAAATATTAAAAAACCTGGTTATGAGGTCGTTGAGCAATATCTACGCAGTAGATAAACGCCTCAGAAAACTAATACGGGATCGAAGTCTCTTTACATTCAATTGTTTAAATTTACGTAATATCCAATATAAAAATTATACTCACGTCCACAACATTATAAATTTTTTCGCACCATGTAAATCTTTAAAAAAATTAGATTTGACATCAAGTAGAATGTCTACTAATCATTTATTAAGATTAATAAAAATATTTGGCAGGTTTTTAACACACCTGCGGTTAAGAGACTTCGATTCTGTCAATAACCATGTTTTATTTAAAATTTCGAGGATATGTAAAAATTTGAGAGGTAATTAAATAAATGTGAATTGTTAAGATTACAGGTTAATTGGATATTATCAATATATATATATATGTATATATTATTTTTTAGTATTGGATCTCGCTGCATGTCGAGGTGTAACAGACAGAGGCCTCTCGTACGTCAAAAATTTAACAGGTCTAGAACATTTGGACCTAAGAATGATGTATGTAACATCAATATCTGTTTGCAAAATATTGCAAAATACTCCACGAATGCGCGTCTTACTTTTGCCCGGCGAGACAGAAGATCTGGATACAGACGCAATTACAACGCAATTGAGAAATTCGTGTCCAGATTTGGAAATTCTAGACATATCGGGAGGTATTATTTCGTCGCGAAATATTGACGACCTCTGTGAATGTAAAAATTTACAAAAACTGCATATTTTATGGATGTAAGTTTGTGCTATATTTTTTTAAATGCATGTTATCATATTCTTTAATTCTTTATTGAAATTTATATGTTTTCGAAATTTACATCTCTTGCAAACATCATGAACGGTTGTTGTTTTTTTTTCTTTGCGATTGAACCGTAGTAATAGTATGGTTTTTGTTACAGGAACGATGGCACACTCCATAGACATTTGTTCCATAGATTGTTTTCTTCCTGTCCACGCTTGGAAGAAATCAATTCGGTAAATCACCATGACGATTTCAACGAGCTGACACTGTCCAAAGATGTAAAAGGACTATACTTGCGACAGTTGTCTAGTTCCGCAATTGTTGAGCAGCATCCCAAATTAAGATCAATTCATGTGATGGATGACAATATTCACAATTGCGACTTCTTGGGACAGATCAAGGATGTGTCTATCTGGAGTATAATATCTGGAGAATGTCTTAATGGAGAAATCTGACTATGAATGACTATGAATCTGACTCTGAATTTCTGACTATGTCAAGAGACATCGCAAAGTAATTCGCAAGTAGAAATAAGAATAATGTGTAGTAATGTATTAATGTAATAATGTAATAATATGATATATAAAATAATCTAATCATAGAATTAAAATTATAAGAAAAGGAACAATAAATAAAATATTTACAAATTCGTTTAAATCTTTAATTTCGCTTATAGATATAAATTTAAGATTTAAAAAGAAGATAAACAATTGAGAAAATGATTTAAAGACAAGTCGCCGCATGTACGAATTTATTTAAAAAACTTTTTTTTTTAATTTTGAGCACATTTTATTCTTTCCGGAAGAATCTTAAGTTTCCCGGGGCTCTTCCACTGACGCACGCGAGGACAACCGTGGAGTTTTAGCCGGTAAGAATCCGGCACTCCCCCTGTCTTTGCCAGAAGACGGGGGGGTCTTCCCCCTCTTGAGGGGGCTACTGGGTAAACCGAAGATTTCTCCACGTTAAAAAAAAAAAGCACATTTTATTCAAAACTATTTTTTCTATAAATATAGTGTAAAAAGTTGTGTTAAATATAAAATCAAGATTTATGCTAAAATGTATATATATAATTTAATTTATTTTTTAAATTCAATAAAATATAATCAAATTGTAGTTTGCACGTTTTTACATTTGACCGTCGAGAAGTGAGAAATCAATCCCTACGGCTATCGAGAAGTAATTAAATTCTCTAATCTATCGATTGCGTTCACAAATATGCAAATGCAACTGATATGTTTTTATATTAAAACTTTCAACGTTTTAAATTTATTCCTTTAAAAAAGAAGAAAAATAAGGATTTTAGGAATTCTTGGAGGTCGATCATGTATCTTGAAAGAAGGTAAAAATTACAAAAGTTAACAGACTTACTAGATTTCGACGTGATTTCGACCAATGAAATCGTAGATAAGACTAGAGAGTAGATAATTTACTAGAGTAACTATAGTATAGATTTTCTCACTTTTATAATACTCACTCTTTTCAACATGATCGACCCCTTGGAATTCAGCAATTCCTGAAATTTGTGAACCCTGCGATTTAGAATTTTAAGAATTCTTATAATCGAGTTCAATGATTCCTGAAACTCGAATTCTTGGTTATATTTCTTAATTATTTGATCATATTCTCTTTGATACTTTACCGTCGAATGTATGCCGGTGCATTATTTTTGAAATATTTCTAAATATTGAGTATAACGACCCCCTTCCTGATTTCTTTAAAATTTTCAAATTTTGTATATTTTGGGTCATAAAAAATATTAAAATAGTTAAAAATTTCTGGAAATCTGCCTGCACGGCGAAGGAAAATAGTTTTCGGAACGCGCGGAACTCCGCGTTTGTATTTTATCTGCCCGATTATTGATCGGTCATCGGGCGGCAGAACTCCACGACAACGAGCGGTTCCCGTTTGCGGATCCTCCAGAAACGTAAATAGTGCATGACAGCTGCGGGCGCACGTGGTATATAGGCCTTTTTAGATCGTCGGTGCTTATTGACCTGTTTATCGCGAGACGTAGCCGTCATTCCAAGATGTGGATACTGCCGATTAAAACGACGTTGTCATGTCAGGTAAGAGAAGCTTCCGTTGATTTAGCTCCACCTTCTTGCATCTCATGCTTGAGATAATATATTCGAGACATGTATCGGGAATATATCAAGAATTTAAGTATGGAACTTAGGGAATATATGATACTCTCTTTCCTCTTCTACTAATTTGCGATTCTAAAGATTCGAGCCTTAATTCTCAATTAATTGGCGCTGCGTTTGCACGTTTATTGCGTCTTAGACTATTGACGTTATATTAATAGTCCCGCCATTCAATAATATTTTCATAGCAGAAGCGTACGTTATCGTAAGGCCGCCAAAAATAAAAAATCACTTTTGTACGTCAAAATCTGTCAATCGCGGCGATTAACTTATTATCACGTACGTAATAATGTTAGTTTGTTAACGTATGGATAAAAGATTAAATCAAGAAACAAGTTATATAATTAAGAATAATTTTGCCTCAGGTAATTTAGCCGGATTGAATTAATCTTCGGTCAACTCAATCAGAGGTCGTTGGTCAGAGTCGCTCTAATATATAAACAATATATATAGGTCTATCAATGCAGGGGTCAATCTCAGAACTAGAAAAGGATAAAAAGTACATTAAATCGAAATTAAAGTCAATCAACATTAGATAGAAACAGACATAATGATCATTTCCATTGGCTCATCAATATAATTTCTCTTTATTATTGCTGTTATTAATGAAGCGGGAAAACATCTTTCATAATCGGTTCGCGCACGGCGCACTTGGTCACGTGACATCGTGACCACGTTGCGCATCGCGCAAGCTCGGTCGAGCAGCTGAGCTCTCGACGGCAGTCGACGCGCATGCATATGCCGCGAAGTGCGCAGCAAATTAGCCCGATATCGGCGCGCTATCTGGCAGCGCGAATCGACGAGGAGAATTCGAGGTTACGCCGAATCTACGTCTGGACCGAACACCTCCCCGTACGTAATGCGTATCGCCGTTATCAGCGGACGCGCGCTTATCTATTAATTCTTATCTGATTCCGCTGTCGGAAGCTCGACGCTCACGGATTCGCGACTCGCCAGGCGATTTTTCCGCCGGACATCGCGCTGTCGCGCGATAATAATCGCTCGATAGAACGGGCAACCGCCATTTTCTACTCTCGCTCGCTGTACCGGGTGACCCGCGAATTTTGACAACGGCTTTGCGAGAGCGCGTTTCTAAATGCGCGAGCTACATCTCGCAAAGTACTCGCCGTTTTCGAATATTTTACTTCAATGCACTTTTAAAAATACAATTAAGTATTTTAGCATAGAAATATAAAATTCAAGCGAGGTTATCAAAAATGTCGACCCGACATCCTTACTATCGCCAGGCATAACATCGTGCAACGGGTGCCGTGAAAACACTCCCTCTCACATGCCCCTGAAATGCAGCAGGGGACCTCTTTTCTTATCTCCCGTTTCCACGAAATATTTGAGTGTCCCTCCCCCTCGCTCTCCCACCAACATTTTTACGGATATGGAGTATAGCATCCCTTTTTTTCCCCCGAATCCCTCACTGTTCTGTTACGGGATTCCTCCCACAAAATCCCTCTTCACTTCCAGCTTTCCCCCTGAATACTCCGGAGATTTGAATCCTGTATTTCTGTGCTACTGATACATTTAATTTTCTATTTAAATTCAATACACTTTCTGAATTGAATATCGGATTAAGTGGGCCACCCTGTATGCTCTAGAATGCATTGCTGAAGTATAGCTATTTATTTTAGACATACTTAAACAATTTGTATATTAATATATTTTAATTTTATATACTTTTACCGTGCTTACGCATTGTAATTTTAGATAGTTCTACTTTTGAATGCTGTAGACGCGAAAATAAATAAATTGTGGTATTCGATTTTTAATTAATATATTTTAAATGGAAAATTGCACGTTTGGCAATTAATTTCATAAAAATAAAACGTAAAACTTTTTACTCCAATATTTACCGAAATAATTCAGAAATTTTGATTTTTACTTTTATAAATTCTCTATTTTTATTGAAAGAAACTGCTTATTTTTGCCTGGTTATTATGCGTCCATTAAATGAGCAACGCTATTATAATACTGCTTATTTCATAATTAATAATTGAAATTAATTTGATTTAATTATTATTTAATAATTAATCGGCGCTGTATATATTGTGTGTCCAGGATCATCTTCACTGCGTGTATTCTCCATGCCAAGCGTGTTATGATTTCGGGAAGATGTAACTCATCATCAATAGCTCGCTGCATATCTGAGTTATCTAAGAAACAGTGGAGTGCGGGAACGCAAGGGTATCGCAAAAAGTATCTCACCAAAAGTGCTCTACCCTCCGTTGAGTGCGATATGAAGAAGTAATTATATTACGTACACATGCACACGATTATATATATTTTATTTATTATATTTATATTGTATTGCTTATTGTTTGGTAAAAACTAAAGTTTGAAGATGATTATTAACCAATCACGTTTAAAAAAAACCAGGTTGTGCCAGTCAGTGCCTATTCTGTCGACATCCGCCAGAACGGCGTCGACGTCCCGACAGGATAGCGAGAAAGAAACCGATCAGCCTGAAGTGAAAAAGAATCGCTTGAGGCTGGAAAAGTCGCCGTATCTATTGGAACATGCGACCAATCCTGTGGACTGGTATCCCTGGGGCGACGAGGCCCTGGAAAAGGCGAAGAAGGAAAATAAGCTAATTTTTGTGTCGATCGGCTACTCTACGTGTCACTGGTGCCACGTGATGGAGAAGGAATCGTTTAAGAACGAAGAAGTCGCGAAAATTATGAACGAGAACTACGTTAATATCAAAGTGGATAGAGAAGAGAGGCCTGATATCGACATGATGTGCATGATGTTTATTCAGGCAGGTGTCAAATTTATTGCTATGCACTATGTGAGGGCCAAGAATAAACAGCAAAATGTATATGCTACTTATAATTATATATTAATTCTGTTGAATATACTAACGAAGAGGTATCTACATTTTACAGAGATTGAGAGGCCACGGCGGTTGGCCATTGAGTGTTTTCCTGACGCCGGATTTGATGCCGTTAACGGGCGGAACATACTTCAGCTCTGCAATGTTTACGTTGTACTTGACACGAATTGCGAAGGAGGTATATGCACATACTTTCTTATGCATGATACTTTTATCTGATACGAACATTTTTGCTTGATTTACGTTACGAATTCGCATTTAATTTGTCATATATAATTGTGCGAATTAAATCTTATTTTTGTCCTACAGGATAAAATTATAGGTACATAAATGATATTTTCTTTTGTTCTAGTGGACGGAGGAGAAAAACAAAATGGTCAAGTCCGCCACTACTATAGCAGAACGTTTGAAGGAATTGGCCTCGAGCAGACATGACGTGAAAGTGAGCAAATGCTACTAAAGATTTCGAGACTTTAAAACTATTTTATAACATCGTATCTTATTCATTGATCTTTGTGACACAGGACGATGGAGTTCCTGCGATTGATTGCGCTTTCTTGTGCGCTCACGTTCTAATGAACATATACGATAAGGAATACGGCGGATTTGGCAGCTCATCCGCCACGAACCCGAACTCACCGAAATTTCCCGAACCGTGCAATTTAAATTTTCTTCTCAGTATGCACGTTCTAAGTACTTCTGCCATGTTGGTTGAGATGTCTTTAGATGCAACCCTGAATACCTTGAGGAAAATGGCTTACGGTGGAATTCACGATCACATAGGGAAAGTAAGGCCCCTTCGTTTTCGCTATTACAACACGCGAATCGTATAGTTTTAAATTGTTCGTCTTTCAGGGATTTCACCGGTACACCGTGGACGCTCGATGGAGAGTTCCTCACTTCGAGAAAATGCTTTACGATCAAGCTCTGTTAATACAATGCTACGCTGACGCGTACATCATTACGAAAGATACCTTCTTTTCCGATATCGTGGACGATATCGCGGTGTACGTCCTACGTATGCTGCAACACATGGTATTATATATTGCTTTTTTATTTGTTCGTCTAGCAGTATTTTGAATGTATTTCCTAGATACAATGCTCATTCTAACTTACAAGAAATATTTTCCCTCACTTAGACTTTTTGAAATCAAAGTTGTACAGAGCGACAAACATGTAGGAGGATATAAAATATTTACAGCATGTACATTATTCAGGAAGGTGGTTTCTTCAGCGCGGAGGACGCGGACTCGCTACCCAAGTCAGATGCGCCAGCGAAGCGGGAAGGCGCATTTTATGTTTGGACCTATGACAGTCTTAAGACTCTTTTAAAAAAGAAAGTACCTGGTAAGGACAATGTTAGATATTTTGACCTTATCTGCCGACAATTCTCAGTGCGGAAGGAGGGAAATGTAGAAAGCCCACAAGTATGTTTTACAATCGAAATCGTAAAACAAGATATTTATAAAGCAAAATTTGTGAATGCGATATTGTTCTGCAATACAGGATCCTCATGGCGAGCTTACAGGCAAGAACGTATTTTGGATGGAGTCGGGAATAGAGGATACCGCTAATCATTTTAAGCTTAGCGTAGAGGACACACAAAAGTATATAAACGAGGCCTGTACTATATTGTTTTTCGACAGAACAAATAGACCGTGGCCCAGCCTGGACGACAAGATCGTAACAGCATGGAACGGTAATGAATTATGATAAGTTTGTGTCATCGTCGCCGTGACAGATTTCGTGACACTCATTTCCGTAATGTCTGATTACGATTTTTTTTAAATCTATTTACAGGTCTTATGATAAGTGGCCTTGCGCGTGCTGGAATAGCTGTGAAAAACAAGAAGTATGTTGAAGCAGCGACAGAAGCTGCCACATTCGTGGAGCGATATCTATTTGATAAAAAGAAACGCATACTGCTTCGCAGTTGTTATCGCAGTAGGACGGACGACAAAATTATACAGAGGTAAATACTGTTATACATCTGCATTCATGTCACGCATGCAAAATAATCTATGATACGATTTATAGGAGCGCACCGATACCTGGCTTTCATGAGGATTACGCGTTCCTCGTGAAGGGATTGCTCGACTTGTACGAGGCCACCTTCGACCCGCATTGGATCGAATTTGCCGAGGAGCTGCAGGATACTCAGGATCGATTGTTCTGGGACTCGGAGGATGGCGGTTACTTCGCTATGGCCGAGGAGTCTTCAATACTTACACGAATGAAAGACTGTACGTTTGGCTGCTTTTCTAATAATTTTAGTTTGATCATTAAATGTCAAGATTTAAAACGCACGTAACGCAGTGACCATTACGTCAAGTAAACAAAGTCAAGCGAAATCTAATTCTGCCGTAAAGATTATCGCATCCAAGTCTTTACACCATTATCTATTAAATATTTCACTACATTCTTAGTCCTAGAATTCACATACATATAGATCGTCAGTTTAATAAATTTTATTAACGTCTTTTGTTGCAGCTGACGATGGCGCGCAGCCGTCTAGTAATTCAATCGCGTGTTCCAATATGTTGCGCCTAGCGATTTACCTGGATCGCGACGATCTCAGGAATAAAGCTGAGAAACTTCTGTGCGCGTTCGGCAACAAACTTGTGAGCTGTCCGGCTGCATGTCCACAAATGATGTTATCGCTAATCGAATATCATCACCCGACGCAGGTGCGTGCCTCTGCTATTAAAAGCCGCTGACAATAGCGCTTTCGTGAGATTGTAAGCTCTCGACACGTGTCTGCAATGGGTCTTTCTTTTCAGATTTACGTAACAGGGAAAACGGATGCCAAGGAGACGATTGAGATGTTGGACATAATCCGCGAGCGTCTGATGCCTGGTAGAGTGCTCATATTAGCCGATGCTGAGCAATCGGACAACATACTGTTCCGTAGAAACATGATTGTTAAAAGAATGAAGCCGCAGAAAAACCGGGCGACGGCCTTCATATGCCGTGATTATTCATGCTCTCTACCCATCTCAAACACCAGCCTCCTCATTTCTGAGTTGGATAAAAAGGTGTTTACCGATTTATAAGTGGCTAGATCACGCGTTACTATTTACGTTGCGACGCGCGTCCCACAAAACGTCGAAAACGACGGAACAACGAAGTAGGGAAGACGCCGTCGCCAAAAATTGCATAATATAATGTTAAATAGTACAGTCTTAGCTCGTAGATTAATATACTCGGTTGCTAGCACGACTGACAAGGGAAGGTTTCAAGTATAAATGGCATATGCCAAACTTATACAGATCTGATTTGCACGTACTTGGTCGGAAATGAAGATACATAAAATTTGATTAAATTCTTACGGTTTTAATTTTTTCAAATTTGGTATCAGATCAAAATAATACACAGCCAACGATCTGTAAAATTCGGATATATTTGATATTTGTGCTTATAAAGCAAAGGGCTTAGAAGTTCTTTAAAAGATGGTTATATGGAATACTTTGGAGCATGCAAATGCATCGGTCTTCTGTGACCTTCCTGACATAATCTTGGCCAGTGAGTCGAAACGTCTTACCACCTATGACGAATTTGATATGAGGCAAATTAGGAATCTCGCGGCACGCCACAATTTCATTAAAACCAATCTCTAGCTTAAGAGCTACGATAGTCTGCGGTGGTCCAGCTATCATAGAGAAGCCCGTGTCGAGGATAGCTTGACAGCCTTCCGAGCAAAAGGTGTTCCTTTCTGTTTTAATCTTATCTATTTTAAATTGCCAGTATTTTTGCCGGGTAACATCCACATACGTCAACTCGCCCTCGTAACGGGAAGGATTAGTGCCACCCAATAGTAGTTCACCGTTGGAATGTAAGTTGTGCTTTCGATTCAGATAGAAGCTAAAAGTTGGTGCAACGATTTTTTCATGAATCTCGTTTTTGGAGACAATAGTAGGCGTCTCATTAAAGAGAGATAAGGCGGGATAACCCATCCTCAGAACGCCGTCCCATTGTGACCAAAACATTGTTGGATGGAAATTGAAAACCTCTCCGAACGTCTGTGATTTAAGTATAAAACGTCCAATCCTTATGGTATCTATAGATAACATTCCATACATTCTCTCATGGCGTTAAGTAATATTAAATGGTAATCCATGTCTGACGTATGACAAGGACATCGTATTGTCGTTTTTATTATGTTCCGAGCAAGCAGGTTGACTAACGTCGCAGTCTTTGGATGGTACCCAGAGACCTGAGTATTTAGTGTCGAAAAGTGATACCTTGATCTGAACCAAATAACTTGATCTGATACCAAATTTGAAAAATTAAAACCGTAAGAATTTAATCAAATCTTATGTAACATAGCTAATTTGCTAGAAAAGCAAGAACTGACAAAAAATATACGCCCAATAGTCCATAAAATTTGGATATTTAATATTTGTGCTTATATCGCAAAGATCTTAAGCTTATAAATGATGAATTTCACTTTTTGATTATTTAAATAACGGGGGGTCTTTAAGGTTTGGAATAAGACTCTTATCGCTGTGTCTGCAACTGATACCAGACTGTGAAGTTCCAGTTATTTGACACAAAACTTCTGTTACTCTATTTATTCTTTTTCTCTTGAACTTTTTCTTCTCCACTTTAAACGAGGAATCTTCCTCTTAAACTCTCCTCCCCTTAATCCTTCTCTTAATACGCGGCTGAGATCGAATCATAGACTTTTCAGTCATCCCCTTATCCAACAACAAATCTGTATAGCTTTGACATTATGCGATTTACACTTGGGAGCCTTCTTTATTTGTGAGTACATCATTCGTAAGCACAAGTAAATCGGCAGCATGCTGCAACTGATAAACAAATGTATAGATATTCGTTGAGAAAGAACGAGAAAAGTTTTAGTTGGTACCTGGGAAGATCGAATTAAAAGATAGGTTCCAATCCAAAACGGATGGAGATCGCGTAGTATTTATGTACTTCAATGTGAAAATGCGATTTTAAAGCGTGAATTCTATTAATATTCTAGTATTCTATTGATGTAGCAATGGTCATGATAAACCAGTTGTACTACTCTGATAAATTTTCTGTTACTAAAACCCTAGTTTCAGCATGTATATGCATACGTGTGTACAGTTGAGGAATTATAAATTATATTATATATCTCTCTCTAAATTACAGGAATTGTCACGTATGTTTTCACGTTAAGCAAATTTAACAATTTAAAAGCAATTTCTCATGAGTGTGTGACACTTGCTAAGTGTCTCTATCTCAGATTTTATTTCTTGATTTTCACAGGGGTGTCTATCGTCGTTATACTTAAATCGAACGTATATATATTATAAATTACTAATTAGTTATATGAAATAATCAAAGATGACTTTACAATTCTAAACGATGAAGTAACTTTACTCTATATTTTCCAAAGATTCAATTTCAACCTCGATTTCAATCAAAATTTCAGTCGTTAGTGATAGGTATCTGTCGCAAGTAGACAAATAATAGAGCGAAGTATTGATAGCAATGGCACTGGTATTATTCCAGACAGTAAAATTAAATTGGTAAAATTAATGGTAAAATTGAATTGTTGAATTTTATAAAACTTGTTAAATCACACATGCGCGCGCTTTCGAGACATCTACACAAAACAATAGTCTTTCATATACATATGTACAAAAAATATTTTATAAATGTACAGAACATGTAATGTCGATCGCTAATAAATAAATAAATATAAAAATTTAAAAATTCAAAAATTTTTTTTTTTTAATATATGTGATACAAAAATTTTTGTAAGTAAATAATTAAAATTTAAATCAATGAATCTAGTCCGAGTATAAGATCGTGGCGATTTGCTTAATTATCAGTTTTATCTCCTCTTCGACGTCAAACAAAGCTTGAACTTGGTTGACAATTTCCCGCTGTCCAGTCTGTTCACGTCATCAGAAATTATTTATGACGTTTAAAGAGACATTGCGTTATTACTGCGTTAAAGTTCCTGTGCATCAATCTCGTTGCAATAATTTATAAAAATCGTATCCGCGATTTGACACACTTGCTTATCAACCGCCGAAAGTGCAGCGTATATTTACGTAAACGTCAACAAAAATATGGCGCTGGTCTACGCTAGGTATGTCGTAAAATTTGCTTTTTATTTTGAAACATGTTGCTTGTTTGATTGAAACGAAAACGATGTCTTCTTTTAGACTTCTCTGCCGGCGTAATGTCGATTTTCGACATTTCCGAAGCATATACACATGCAGGTAAGTCCTTACATAATGCATAACCTCTTATTTACATAACTGTCAGAATATAAAGAATACTTATAATTTCTATTTATTTTTTACGAAAGTAGTCACAAGATTATCATGTGTGGATTAAACGCAACACTATTTACTCGCGTAGCTTTAGTTTGAATACTCATGTTTATCATATGAATCTTGTCACTTTATTTTCTATTGATTGTGTCTGGCAAGTCGCAATAAGATGTTGACAAAGCGTATGCTTGTTTCAGCCCTCTCAGCTCCACGGTTTCGAAACCGTTACTTTCGAGCGCGACATGCGAATCCCACGACGAGAAGAACATGCGTCTGAAGAGACCGTTATCGCCGCACATGACCATCTATCAAATTCAGTTAACGACGGTGCTCTCAATAACGCATCGCACTACTGGTATTATGCTCGCCAGTTACGCAATGTTCCTTGGTTTAGGTAAGATATATAATCCTAATTTATATATTCAGTTTAGTTTATCTAATGTATATGTAATGCGAGTATGCCCCCAAGTTGGATATTGTTGAATCTGTAAATCTTATGTTTCAGGCACGTTGTTTATACCCGGCGGTATCCCCTGTTTTATAGAAACAGTGGATAATTTGTGCTTGCCTTTGCCTGTACTGTTCGCTGGCAAAATGTTACTTGCGCTGCCTGCTACTTATCACTTGTTCAATGGAATACGTCATTTGGTATGTGACTGCAATATTAAATAATTATATGATAAATGTGGTCTTATTTTAAGGAGGATGGTTGCTCAAATCAATATGATGAGAATTGGTTCAAATTTATAGAGGATATTTGTCTATGAGAATCTGTTGTCCATGCCAAAGTTGGAGACAAAGTTGAAAATAATTGTCTGTATGGTTGTCTAATTCTTATTATATTAATTTGAAAATGGCAATGTAAATCGACAATTATTATATTTAACTTACATTCCATTATTGTTCAGGAGTTGGCACGATAATCTCATTAGCATTTCACATTTTAACGCTATATCAATAAATTATCATATGTGTTCTTATGAATTTGCAGGCTTGGGATTTGGGAATGTTTCTATCGATTAAAAAAGTGTATAGCACTGGATATGTGGTATCTGCCCTGGCAGCAATCTCCGCACTTGCACTTGCAGCGATGTAAGTGACGTACATTCTTCAGGAAACAATTCTTTAAAATTAGTTGTATCATCATATTATATTATAACTACATTGAATTAATGCCTCAATTACGGAATAAAATAATTTATTAGACCTTATATGTGTTCGATTTTTCATACTCTGATTTAGAATCGAATAAGTGTTTAGCATAATTTGTTTATTTTTGTAAAAAGATAGTACAAGTCTTAAGGCACAAACGAAGAAATAATACTAAATAAGGGACTAAAAAACAGGAATTTTTTAGCACAATCACAAAATACAGAAAGCGAGATGAAAACCTGTGAAATTATACAGAAATGATTATAAAAAAACTATACGGCTTAAATTTACGCTTTTTAAATTATCAATAAAGCATACTTATTGTTAGATAAAGAGTTTACTGTATCGTGACCGTTTTATCAAAGATATAAAAAATATTTATTTTACAAATAGATCTTAGAAGTACAGACAGTTTTATATAAAACCGTCCAAGGATGATTCGATGTATTTCTTGTAAATCGCCATAAACCGCGAGGCAAAAGCTTCCAAATGAAATATTGGTTTTGAACCACGTATCATTCTATGCTGATACTCCGACGCGACATCGATAATTTCTCGTTTCAACTGATCGTCACAATTTTTTACGCATTCTTGCAACAATCCTCTGAAGATTAGATCGCTCGGTATAGCACGCGTTAACAGATCGTAAAATCTGTTGCGTACATCCAGAAGCACTTTGGGGGACTGTTCAGAGACCATCATACTGGCTGTATTTCGTATGTATACTTGCCAATCCGGTTCTGCTACCTTTTGATCAGCATTAAATGGATACCTGAAAACCAAAACAAGACTCTTTAAAGCTATGAAGAAAAAAGCTTGACGATTTAAAAATTAGTGAATTTTTCACATATATCTCTATGTATTTATTTCGTGTTACTTACTGCTCGACTTTGCAAGCCTCGAGCATCAGTATTGCTCGTCGAAGATTTCTATTGCTAGCCTCAACCAGCCGATTGGCTAACTCATCGGGTAGAGTGAGTCCTTCGCGTTTGCAAATCGAGTGTAAAATGCTTTTGATCTCGGAGGCAGTTGGCGCGGGGACTCGGATTCGCACGCATCGCGATCGAATCGCGGGCAAAACTCGCGACGTTGAATTCGCGCAAAGAATCAGTCGGCACGTACTGATGTATTTCTCCATTGTCCTGCGAAGCGCGTGCTGCGCATCCCTCGTAAGTTGATCCACGTTTGACAGCAGCACCACTATTTGTATAATAAAATTGTAATTTTAGTTTTCTATGTAATTAGTCTTTATTTTTGTCACACAAAACATTTGTAACGCATAAGAATGAAAAATGTTCTAATGCCGTTTTCTTAAATACCTTTAAACTCCTTCTGGCCTATATCTATATGATGGGTTTGCGCAGTCGACTTTATTAATTCCATGACAACAATTCTGTCGTATATCCCTGCATCACTTGGATTTACTTCTGTGTGATAATTACTGCTTATCGTCAGTATCTCTAATTTCTTTTTAGACGGTGTCTGAAAGCACCATATACAAGGATAGCAAATTATCAAATATAATCTTTTAATTAATGTCTTATATGTTCTATCTAATCTGCAGAATACCATAAATGCAGATGACCATAAATGTGCAAAAACCAACTGTTGTAATACAGTAAAGGTAAATTTTTTTTAAATGATAGTTTAACGTAATTGAGACAAGACAAAAATTAATTACCTCAAACTGCATGTTTTCTATTTTTAATCTCTCAGCCGCAGCCCCGTAAAGTTCCTTTAAAATACATAATATTCGAGTTTTCTTTCCTGCGCCAGAGGGTCCATGTACTAATAAGTGTGGAAAGTCTCGTTTCTGCACCTGGTTTAATTTAAAAATAGAAATAAAGTAAAAATAATTCAGATTTTTCCAGCTAACTAGATAATAGGTTGGCCAATAAGTCCGTGCGGTTTTTTACTTATAAATGTTACTTATAAATAACCGCACGGACTTATTGGCCAACCTAATATAATTCTGTAATGCATTCCAGCAAAATTTTCATTTCTACATTAAAAATAATTTTAAAGATATAATTTGAATCTGTTATAAATTATCTATGTTATTGTATATTTTTATTAAAATGAATTTTAAAGCTGATGTAATTTTTTTATTTCGTAACTCGTGAAATGCATATCATCCAAAAACTCATCATATTCATCCAACTATTGTATTATTCTATTTCGAAAAACATTTGTTATTGTCTTTCTTTGGAAGGCGCGCTTTTAGCCGGCTAACCTCTCATTCTCCACACAATGTTCCAATATTACTTCGACTTAATATCTTACCATATTTTTCAAGTCCTCCGCTTGGTCGAGATGGTAATCCAATTTCGCAAGTGTCGTTGGACGATATTTGTCAACCCATAAACTCATTTTATCAGTTTTTGCAAACCTATCACAAATGTCGAACGTTACTCGATCCAAAAATTATCGTATTTCACAAACAAAGCTAATAATTGTCACAGTCGGTAAAGATATCAGTGACTTTACCAGCAATAATTATCGGCAGTCATAAAATCACGAAAATTTAAACTTTCAAAAATATCAAAGGAATAAAATTAACGAGAAAATGGTATTTAAAATTCTACAAATTGCGAGCCAAGAATTCAGGATTTTAAATCCCGAAAGTCGATGAAGAATATAATTGGGGCAAGAAGGTAACACTCCTAAAATTTTCAAAATATTTCGAAGGTCCAAGAATTGCAATTCCGAGAATTCGGAATATTAAATCGCAAAACTCATGAATCTCAAAAATTGACAGAGCAGGAGAATCGGCAAAGTTGAACTAACAGAAAACAGCTCGAAATAAAGGGCAATATAAAATAAAAATTCTTAAATAAGGAAGAAATTAATTCTAACAATTCGTAAATTGTGCAACATATATTTATTTTCGCCAGAAAAATTTAATTACACAGTAATTAAACTGATTCTTCTAGGACAATACTATTATAGAACGCATAAATTGCGTATAAATGCATAAAATACATTTTGTTATTTTTCAGACAAAGATCATATAATCAATTATTGCACAGTTATGCTGTTCAAATGTATTGCAGACATTAATTATAACATTATAACATTATTAATTATAACATTGTTCAATACTATAAGATATATATATTTTTCAATTCTCTCTAAATGGCATTACTACAGGTATACAAAATAAATGTGTCCTTAATAAAAATATCAATATGTCATAAAAATATTTGACATTTATGTATAAAAAATTATATACTTGCGACAAATGTTGTTGATGCTATGCCAAATACCGCAAAATTGCAAGATTATCGAGTTGCATAAAAACATTTTTTATTATACATTTTTAAAACATGAAATTATACTATGTGCCCCGCGTCATATATTAAAGTTACGAATTTACAAACCTTGAATATTTGAAAGATTTTTCAGATAAACAAATCCTTTTGCAATTTCAAACATGACTTTTCTGGTTAATAAATTTCAAATGCAGATTTCTCAAACAACTTTACAGTTTTACGGTTAACACGGCATATATCAATAATTTATGAAAATATTAAAAATATTATGTAATTAAATGAATCATTAATACTAACTCCTATTAACGTTTGTGATTGATTTAAGAAAAAGTACAAAACTATAATTAAATCTATTATGGCAAAATATTTCTTAGTGTAAAGAATACAAAATAACTGTTTGTAAAATATAAATATAATAAGTACAAAATTAACAAGGTGTACTAGTAATTTTGATTTTTAGATTACTTCCTACATAAACTGAATTACCTATATATCTGAAAGGCTATACTTGATCATAGGGCCGATATCACAGTCTCCGATTAACGTGATCCTCCGATTAAACTCACTCTGCATCTCTTTCTAACTGTCCTCCTAGAAAGAGACGAAGAGTGAGTTTAATCGGAGGATCACGTTAATCGGAGACTGTGATATCGGCCCATAAAGAAGATATTTGCTCTAACAAGTACATATAATACTTAAAAGCATAGTTTTCTTTTTTTATAATCATGTAAGAATGAATGTAAAATATATTAAATATTCTCAAAAATATGAGAATATTTAATATATAATAATTTATGTAATAATTTGCTGCAAAAATTTGATTAATAATTTCACAAATATTTTGTGAATAAATGGGATAATAGATTAAAATGCATAAAGATAAGAACTTATTAATGACACATATAATAATAATATTAATTAATATTACTGAGAGATAAATGCATAAAAGATATGAAGATAAATTAAGTACTTTTATGTACTTTACTAAACAATATAAACATACAAATATTTTAACGTATATTCTTTGATATGCTTTCTCACATATAAGACAATATTATCAGGTATGTTGGTTTCTCTATTTATACCCACACACCATGTGGATTCTTACTTGTGGGTACTGCAGTTTCCAATTGCCTTGGTGATCCTATCATCTTACGTGTACTGCCAGGTTTATGGGCACCTAATAATTAAGAAATCTTATTTGTCAAACAGTTACATGTACAAAATAAACTTGACATTACAAACATGTGATATATAAAAATAAAAACCTTCTAATAAAGATTTGACTTGTTCATCTGAGCATGCAACAGCTAAACTTTGTAGATTTGCCTCCTTCATGTCGGCTACCAATCTCTCTACTTGTAATTTCTTCTCAACAATCGCCGATTCCAGATTAACTACTTCTAATTTTAAAGATTCGGCATGTTGCGAAGCTAATTCAGTCGCGCGTTTAGCTTGTTCCACCTCATTTTGCAAATGCTCCACTTCACTAATTATTTTTCTTTCCATAATTTGCCGTTCATCTGATTCGCGGCTTATATTGTGTTGTTCCATTGCAAGTTCTTCCATAACTAACCTGTAATTATAATTTTCATATTTCAATTTTAACGCAATGTAATCTTTTATAATATAATGTATTAAAGAGTACTTAAGAGATAACAATTCTTACGATTCTATGAAAGACATTGCTTGCACTTACCTAATTTTATTTTTACATTGAAGGAGTTCTGTTTCACAATTGGCAAGCTTTGATCTGAGCAATGTTATTTCTGACTTCAGTGTTTTTTCCTGCTGTCTAACTATCTCGCTTTCTTCTTCCACATGCGCCAATTCTTTGAGCTGATTAACAATAATTAATAATTATAATTTACATTAACATCGTAATATGTGGTAAGTAGACAAGAAAAAAAATAAATTAATGTTACCTGTTCCTCAATGATACGACCAGTAGACTCAATGCGATTCATTTCTTGAGAAATATAATCCATTTGATGCATTTGTTCCCTATTTTTTGTTTCCCAGTATAATATTTCTGCATCAAACTAAAATAAGTAATTACTATAGTTTACTACATATTTTTGTAAATAAATTAATCAAATATAATCTTAAACAGCTAAAAAATTACTTGGAAAAAATAGGCATTTTTTAAATTATATTAATTAAATTGTCGAAGAACATGTATTACTTTTGTTAGATCAGCTTGTTGAGCGTTAATAGTGTCCCGTTGCTTATTGACTAGTCTTATAAGTTCAACGTATCGTTGAGTATAAGCAACAGTTGCCATATTTTGTGCCGTGACAGAAAGCGGATTAACAGATTGCGTAGGCACTTTTGTATCTTGAAACTCCTATAAAGGATATATTGTAAATGTGCACACAAATAATTGTAAGTCATTACATCAAGTGTAAATATAGCAACAAAACCTGGATGAGATTTCTTTTCAGCTTCATGGAATTACTAGAAGATGGTTGATCGTCCTTGTGCACATGAGGACTTCCACTGCCGTGCACGAACTGCGATCTTCCAGGACTGTTTAAATTCGGCGGCGGTGGATCCCGGTAAGGTGGCAAGGTGCGTAAGCCAGGTGGCGAAGCTGGGCCTGGAGGCTCTCTGTAAGGTGGAACCTCGCGCACTTTCTTTTGCGACAGGTGCGTCGCGACTGAGGGAAAAAGCGACGAATTAATAACGAAACAAGTAACATCATAAGAATCGTTGCATATGAGAGAGAGTTTGAAATACGATTATGTCAGAGTGATATAATATAAATAATATAAATAATATTTAATATAAATAATGAATTAAATAGAACGACTCACTTTCGGTATTGGTTCCTCGCGTAGGTGACTGTGCTGGTTTTTGTACATTTTTTCGAACATTTAAATCTTTATTCTTCAACTGCGGCGTGGGCTGAACTACAGCTACATTATTTTCCATTTGAATCTGAAATAACATTTTTTTTACATACGTAGATGTAAAAATTAATTATGGAAAACTCACAATGTAGACAGAGCGACATGAGTAAACTTATAAGCATTTATCCAAAATAATTTGTATTGAAATGTTTATCATTAATAACAATTCTCTGTACGCTAATGCGTGTAATATGTCTTTTTCTTTCTTTTCTTTTTTTTTTAATTAAGAATGTAAACTTACCTCTGTGCTACCTTCTGTGATACCTCCGTGAAACCCGCTAAATGTGAGAGATTTTCTAGTGTCTCTATTCCTTTCCAATCCTCCTGGCGTATCATCAAAATCTGAACTTTGCGTGGTTGTCACATTTTTGCTATCGTCCTGCATGCCAGCAGTACCCGTTCCATGCTCCGGCAACGATATTGGTAGTCCATTTGGGCGCGTTGCATAAGTTCGTGACGATAAGGCGTTTGTTTTGCTATTTTCCGGCGTGGAACGTCTCAGAATCAGTTGAACTTCCGATGAGTATTCGCCCCATTTCATCAAAATCTAATCCGCATAAATCGTACGTCATCAATTGTTACTTCTCATACGTGCGATTACACTGATATAAGCATTTTGGTTTATTGAAGTTTCAAAATTAATTAATACCACGAAATAAATTACAAACTCGTGATATCTGAGAGTAGATTGTATTAGAGGATATGCCTAACCTTGAGAGGATTCTCGTAAGGAGCCAGCAGACGCTCGTTGGTTCGCCAGCGCTCCACCAAAGTGAATCTACCTGTCTGAGCTGTGGCGTGAGCGAGCGCGTACACCACATCCTACAAACAAACTGTCATCAGCAGTTGGCTTTTAAAAACAGGCACAAGCGTTTAGAAGATATAAAGTATTGGAAACATGATTCTCGACGATAGCAAGTACGCTGTTGCGAAATACAATCACTGAACTGTGCAACAAACTTTTAGATATTTATAATTTAGATATATTAAATTTTTAGATATTTATTTTTGTAAATTCATGCACGCTATTCCTATAGCATTATGTACTAATGAAAAGTGACAGGCTTTCTCTACAATGGGGTGTAATTAATTTCATTTTAGTCGTTACAAAATAACAGCTGTGTGCATGTATATGTATATGTACATGTACACACACATGTTTGAACTTTTGAAGTATACATAATAGAATGATGTCAACTTCCTGACGATACATACTTGACAGGTGGTGGTCTCGGTAACGCCGCATACAATGCGTTGAATTCCCTCCACCCAGACCTTCAGCTCCATCATATTAGCGACACCGAGTCCCCGAGCTTAATTCCTCACATCGCCGACGCAATCAGCTCGCGTCAAGAAACATCGGTCGTACCTCATCTCCCGTACGGGGCCGCCGTCATAACCTCGCGGCCAACCGCGTACGTCTCGACGAACGTCTTCACTCCGGACAAAGCCAATCTCGGTTTACTCCCGCGACACGATCGTTCGGCTGCCGTTCGAGGCTCGAACGGCCGCGACGAATCTAACGTTCGCCGACACGGGCGTTTTAATTTCTCTCTAACTTCCGATGTATAATTACCGGAGGTGACAGATGCGCTACAATGGCGACACAACACGCAGACGGCGATTTGCATTAAACAAGCACACGTGCACGACGGATAAATGATTGACAAAGTCATGTATCTCTTTTCTTTTTCTCTTAAAAAATATGTTTTTTTTAAATCAAATATTAACAATAATTTTATAACTGTTGATCATGACATATAAATTGCATAATTATAATAATGTGCAATGTGGACTCGGCAATGCAGGAATCTTCCCTTTCTGACTTTTGCATTTACATAGAAAAACATAAAAAAATTATGGAGAAACACACGCTTGATACAATTAGTAATTGTTAACGTAATTCGTATTTGCTGTAAATACCGAACAAATTTTGATAAAACATTCTGTCATCCGTTTCTGTTGATATAAATTAAAAAAAAAAAATGATTGCAAGGTATTCCAGAAAAAGGAGAAAATTATTTTCCATCAAAGGAAAATTTTATTTTCGTATATACATAAGGAAAAAAAGATGTCATTATAAAGAACTACTTCTTCGTTTTCTTATCCTTTGCGACTTTAGTCACCTCGTCGGGATTCTCGGACGCATCCTTAACGCGCTTCGCACGGATACCGACTAATCGCGCGTCAGCTCGTGCCTTGCGAAGGGTCACGTATGCCGAGAATTTGGTCTCCTCTTCGGTGATGGGACGTGCCTTCGCCTTGGCGGGTGCTTGATGTCGGATTGGCATGGGCTCTCCCTTGATCTGAACCGCAAGTTTTCTTTCTTCTTCGGTTGCATCGCCCTTCTTCGGCTAAAATTTAAGAAAATAAAGTAAAATAAAACGAATACGTAACATAAAAGTGAATTTTTTTCATAATAAAATATTTTCAAATCTCAAAATAATGTAACACGAGAAACGGAAACGTTCTGTAAATCAATAAGGCAATTTGAATTTCGTACCTTCTTCTCATTTACGGGGAACAGGATCAGTTTAGCCTTGTACTCCTTTAAGCGCTGAGCATTTGTTTGCAGAGACTCGATGGACTTGTTGCGACGACGTGGATCGATCGCAATTCCGATCGTCTTAGCAAATCTCCTGTTCAGGCCGCTAGCTTTCAGTTCGGCGAGCGTGAAACCTTTGCCAGCGCGAACCTTGGTATGATAGCGGAATGTCGGGCAATGCACGATGGGTCTCAAAAGGTTTACAGGCCTAAAAGAAGACAATCAACGATATTTACCGAAGCGAGATGCAAACAAGAGGTAAATTTCATCGCGCGCTTATGGAAGCATTAAAATATACATTCGATAAACTAAGGTTGGATCTGGAAATATCAATTATCGATATGATGCAAATGTTTCGTGGATGTATGTACCTAGGGGCGAGAGCTCGTGCCTTCTTGGCACGTTTTTGCTTGCGACGGATCTTCCTCGCTGGTTGGTTAAACCAGGTCTTGACGTATCGCTGCCAATCCTTATGGAAATGGCCATTTGGAATCATATTATTTCCCTTACCCATGGTTGATGCCTAATATCTGCAACAGAATCAAAAATTTGACAATTGAACAACACCACGCGCAACTGAATATTAAATATTTTCGTAAGTAATCGTGTGATAACTAATTTAATTCTGAATTCGTCTAATTTCATTGCAACTCCAATTTCAAAGACGAGAGGTTAGCATCTGTAACAGTTCACATAAGCGTGTTAAGTAGACACTGTGTATAAACAATCCATATTTGTCGCAAAATTATGAATACTGAAAGCATTTAAATTGTTGAGATTGAAGAAAAAACTAACGGAGTGTCACCAAAGGAAACAAAAGTTCACCAACAGCATTGGACTCGGATCCTAACCTCTCTTTCGCGGTGTAAACTGAACACAAATGGAAATTAACTATTTCGTTACAAGGATTACATATATGTGGCGAAAGCAATTGGAAATACAGAAAATCACGCGTTCCCGTTGTTACATATTACATATAATACACGATGCTGATACCTCGCGCAGATTAAAATCCTACGCCACTCACTCACCAACTCACGGGACGCGAGACGAACCGGAAAAGGAGCGCGAGACCGGCGGAAGTGGCGCTTTTCGGAGCAGAAATATCTTTATTGCGCAGAAATGAAATCTTCCGCCGTGTTTTTCAGGAATAATAATTGCAACGTTAATATCCGAAGATATTTAACGCTTTGGAACGGCAAAATGAACAATCGTTCCTTAATCCACAAACGGTAATTTATCTGCAGTCGTACAGAAAAATGGCAGCGCACGTGGCGCAAAGGTTATGTGCGCGCCTGGACGCGACACAAGCGCGTGTCTCACGTCTCACTTCTCACTTTTTGTTTACACGGGAAGAATCTGATTTTCACGATAATGCAAGGCTTACCTTGTTCCGTCAGAGTGATGTCGCGATGGAAGATACGAAGATTATTAAATCACTTCTTTCATCAGTCGTTTTCACTGTCAACTGCTGATACGTCGCCGGTATTTTTGTTTGTTTATTTCACTGATTTTCTGCAGGACATTTAAACGTTAAATATGCCTAGATTGGTTTCATTTTATTCATATATTCGCGAATATAGTAAAAGTTTTTAACGTTATTTTGTAGTCACCTTATAGTAAACTTTGGCTGCATTCTGATATTCACTGTCAGCAACTTTCAGTACTGAAAATCTATAGTATACGTGACGCAAAATATAGATTTGCAGTACTGACAGTGAATATCGGAATGCAGCCTTTATCAGTGAAGTTTCAAACTGTTGTATCTCGCTTCGAACCTGTCACGTTATTTATTGAAATATATCTTTTTCAGACTTCATCAATATGTTCGTCAGAGATGAAAAAGGCGATAGAGAAATGCTGGAGTGATAAAGTTAATCTTCACAAACCCAGTGTTAATAACGCCAAGGATAAATTTTATATTCTTTCAATGTTTCCTTATCCATCGGGTGCCTTGCACATGGGTCATGTGCGAGTTTATACAATAAGCGACACTGTAGCTCGATTTTATAGACTGAAAGGTAGGCCTCACAACAAGTTACAATATCTATGATTTTATTTATTTATCTATTTATTAAATCTGGCACGAGATCACCATGAGACATAATGAATCTTATAATAAATTTAGGTAAGAATGTAATTCACCCGATGGGTTGGGACGCCTTTGGATTGCCAGCGGAAAATGCTGCTATTGAGAGAGAAATCGATCCTGCCGTGTGGACAAATGAAAATATAGAGACAATGCGCAACCAATTAAAGATGCTAAATTATTCTTTTGATTGGGATAGAGAATTTGCAACCTGCGACGCGGATTATTACAAGTGGACCCAAGAACTGTTTCTCAAGTTGTACGATAAAGGTTTGGCATATCAAAAGGAAGCCTACGTTAACTGGGATCCTGTCGATCGGACTGTCCTAGCGGAGGAACAGATAGATGCAAATCAGCGATCTTGGAGGTCCGGTGCGGTCGTGGAAAAAAAATTGTTGAAGCAGTGGTTTATTAGAACGACCGCTTTTGCAAAGTAAGTTCGAAAGTTTCACATATATGAAGTTCTGAAGAATTAATATTTTTAATTAATAAATTAATTATGTCATAGATCATTGTTGGAAGGTTTAGACGATCCAACTTTGAAGGAATGGAAAGATATTATAAAAATGCAAAAACACTGGATAGGTGGTGATTGCAATGGCATTAATATTGATTTTAAATTAGTATCGAAAATTCCAGAGTTCCCAGAGACATTAAACATATGGATCGATATGCCAGAATTTGTGGAGTACGCAAAGTATGTCGCTATTTCACCTCAAAGTATTTTACATCGTAAAGAACACACGTATGAAATAGACGTCGGAATAAAAGGTTTAAACGCAAAAATAATGAATCCATTTTCCGGCGAAGAATTGCCGATTTTTATCACTGACAAAGTCGTTTACCCACCGTGGAGAGACACTCGTTTGGGTATACCTTCTGCATCGATGGACGATATGAAATTCTCGGAGTTGGTTGGAATACCATTTTCCCGGCATTCGATACGTAGCTACGAACAGCAACAGCAAAAGATATCTGAAGTATTCCAAAAAGCTAGAGAATGGGGAATAGGCGGATATCCAGTGAGCTCGAGACTGCAGGATTGGTTAATCTCCAGGCAGAGGTATTGGGGTACACCCATACCTGTTATTCATTGTACAAATTGTGGCGCGCAACCTGTACCTCGCGATCAACTTCCCGTTACATTGCCAAAAATGACGCACTCGGGCTCGAATAAAAGATTGTCGATCCACGATATGAAGGATTGGTTGCAGACGAAATGTCCCAAGTGCGGAGGAAAGGCGACTAGGGAAGCCGACACGATGGACACATTTGTGGATAGCAGCTGGTACTTTTTAAGATTTATTGATCCTAAAAATACAAAAGAGATGTTCTCAGTAGAAAAAGTTAAGGAAACTTTTCCCGTGGATCTCTACATAGGTGGAAAAGAACATGGTATAATAGCAACATTTTCTTAATTACTGTATTTCGACATTTATATCTCAAATTAAAATATTCTTTATAAATTTTGCATCTTTTAGCCGTGCTTCATTTATACTTCGCCCGGTTTATGAGTCATTTCCTGCACTCGGAAGGTCTTTTACCATGCAGAGAACCATTTAGACAGCTTCTCGTGCAAGGGGTAGTAATGGGTAAAACGTATCAAGTTTTAAGTACTGGCAAATACGTGCCAGAAAATGAGGTAAATGTGAAAGGGGATCAATATGAGACGAAGTCTGGAGAACTTGTCTCTATGCGCTGGGAAAAAATGTCAAAATCGAAGCATAATGGAGTTGATCCTCTTAATTTGTTGGATAAATATGGAATAGATACGACAAGATTATTAATACTGGCCGATGTTGCACCAACGTCCACTAGAAATTGGTCAGAAAACAGTAAGTTTCTTAAAAGTCACTTGTTTAAGTGGTGATATTATTGAAAGATGACATACTTATATTCACATAACATTGCAGCTATTACCGGTATAAACAATTGGCAGAACCGTCTTTGGACCCTTGTTAAACGATTTAAAGCTGAACGTGACAAAATATCTCCAAAGGAACTCGAAAGCAAACCTACCGATCCTAAATACGTCAAAGACGATGCGTACATGTTTGACAGCCGAAATTATTTTCTTAAAAACGTGACATTTAATATAGTAGAATCGCAGCAACTTAGTGTAGCAATATCTCGAATGCAAGGTCTTACAAATAGGTAAATAATTATATTACGTTTATTAACTCTGATTATAATATTCGAATATACATTGAATACATAAATCTGAATCTGTAATTATAGCTTACGAAAAGTTAGCATAGAGTGTCTGGGAAAAAGTCGCGAATTCGAACGAGCGTTAGCTGTTCAAATTATAATGCTCGCTCCATTCGCACCGCATTTTGCTTCCGAATTATGGGCTATTTTTCGTTCTGCAAAGCATCATCTTATAGATAATACAGAAGTTGACTTCAACAAAGATCTGTTCGGACAGAAATGGCCAGATATTGACATGGGTTACAATCTCGTAATGAACGTTTATGTAAGTATATATATATCCAATGACATATATTCCAATATCATTAAAATAGAAAAATACAACTGTAAAATTTTATATGTGGGGTTTTTAATACTTTTATATTGCTGTTTTTATTTTTTAATTTTTAATTTGTTATGTTTACACCATACATATCTAGGTAAACAAAAGAGAATTTCTTAAAATGAAGATTCCACGATGTAAGTTGGAAGAAATGACGGCAGATACAGCGTTGGAATACGTGATTCTCGATCCGTATTATCAAAAGTATGCGTACAATAAAAATGTTGTAACGGTCAACTTTCAATCAGGGAAAGGCTGTGATGCATCGTTGTACATAACCATGGAAAAACAGAAAGAAGATTAGATAACAGATAAGCACACATGGTATTTTGTACACATAAGATATTAATAGAAATTATATTATACTTATACAGAACTATTTATTATACAAAGAAAGTTTTATGTTCTAAGAATCTATGATGGTTCAATTTGTTACTTACCTAACGTCATATTCTCCTTTGTATCCATTATGTGGGATAGTTTTCAAGAATTTCATGTAGTCGGTGGGAAGATTATTTTCTTCGGCTCCTCTTAATATCATATTTCTGCACAAAATAATCAAGACAAATTTTTTAGATAAAAGTTGAAGATACAACTAATTACAATAATGTTCAAATTATTGTTATTTCTTTTATATTACGTACAGATATAATGGCGAGGGCCTCCTATCCATTGGATAATTTTCTGGCTTTATATATTCCTTTGGATTATTACACTGCTGGTACACTCTACAGGTTAAAGTTGTGCCATCAGGAGTTTCAACATTCACTGTCATCGGATGATATATATCATCCTGAACACCTTCTTGTTTGTCTAGCGTAGCTAAATTGCATTTATTCAATTCCCAGACAACACCCCACACGACTGAATTTTCTGTTTCCACAATTGTTGCAGATGCTCCTTGCCATCGTTTAGAATATCGATGAAAATCCAATCTAAAATTCTATAATAAAAATATATAATGTACAAATATAAAAAATATATATATGTTATACAGGGTGCGGGCAAAATCGTAGTACAAACGAGAACAAGGTAATTTCTCGTGCCAAAGTAAGTCAAAATTGTAAAATAATTCTTTTCTGAGAGCTAAGCAAGATAAATACAACTGGATAGGAAACAAATCATTGCCGATGTCTACAAACAGAAATGGCAGTTTATAGCAAAATCCGTTAATCAAAAAAAAAGAGAAATCATCTTGTTCTTATTTGTACTATGATTTCGCATCCACCCTGTAAATAAATAAAATAACTGTACAAATAATTAATATATCATTTAGGATTTTCTAGTTTACATTTGCAAATCCAAAAATACATTTTACTGTTAAATATCTGTATATATGTATAGTTTTAAGATTCTTATATTTGATGAATGTATACTCAAAAATCTTCCTACGTATAGAACTTTGAAAATGAGGCATAATCTTATCTTTGTTCTTTGTATTCTTACTTTATCTTCAAGGTTTAGTATTATGCATGCAATATATGTGTTTGTCTCGTCCTATTACCATTTTTAAAGCATATCAGCATTATAATTATACTATTGAGTAAAATTATATTATTTAAAAAATACTTCTCCATATATCTATATCTTATCAGAGGTAAAGACTCATATCTCTATTATTATTACAGAAATTTAAAGAAAACTGCAAAATTTGAAGCTTATTATTTCTATGAAAATTTTTTATAAGACTTTTTCTAAACAATTATATCTTAGGTACTAGTAACAATAGACATAAGATCCTTTACTATTATACAATTTAACTCCTGGTATATTAAAAAAAGAATTAACTCCAAATTTGACAAAAACTGGAGGGACTGGAGGTACGATTCTTTACCTTAGCTTATTATTTCTATGAAAATTTTTTATAAGACTTTTTCTAAACCATTATATCTTAGGTACTAGTAACAATAGACATATAAGATCCTTTACCATTATACAATTTAACTCCATATTAAAAAAAGATATATTAAAAAAAGAATTAACTCCAAATTTGACAAAAACTGGAGGGACTGGAGGTACGATTCTTTACCTTTAACCCTAGACAGACTCACTGGGGTCTACGGGACCCCACGCGAAATTCAAATTGAGTCCCTGCTTTAGGAAGGTTAGTTTTCATACCGAGACCCTAACCATAATTCAGTTTAGTCATCCGGCAATCGACCTCTGTGATTCAGCGAGTGCGTTAGATCCGTGCAGCAGCTGTGACCGAAAAAGAAAATCGTTTGGGGTCTCGTAGACCCCAGTGAGTCATTTACGCTTGACATTTACCACAGTAAAGTATATTTCAGATTTTTTGTAAAAATCGATAACAAAAAATTATACACTTTATAGCACTCCCCGGAAAATTCTACCCCTGTTTCATATATAATTGTTTAAAATTCGGTCAATTATTTCATTTTTGCTGTTCTTGCACAGCAACTGATTAAAACTTTGTAAAGTTTTTGTGGAGTTAATTTTACTGTTTCCATATACTTTTATAACTTTTGACTACCTTTCAAATAAATAATAATCGACAGAATCTGTTTTACTTTCCATTTCTTGCGATTTTTCCCATCCGATAGTTTTTCGTCATTTCCTCTACTTCAGACGTTCAAAGAAATATGTTTTTTTTTAAGAAACGAAAAAGTCGCTTACATGCCCTTGAAGGTTGTCTATTCGTCTTTCAAAATCCGTTGGAAATTTTAAAATCGGTGAATTTTATGAAAAACTACAGCATTTTTAATAAAAATAGTCATTTCAGCCCAATTTTTGGTTCTTTTTCTTGTTTTTCGAAATTTTTTTATTGTTCCTTTTTTACTACCACAAATTGATGACTACTATCGTCTTCCCTATTAAACAACAAACAAAATTATCTATTACAAAGTTTTCTAAGAACATTCTGGAAATATTATACACGCGGTACAAGTTTGGGGTTTTTAAGGCCCCAGTGAGTCATTCACGTATGAGAAAAATAAGTGAGTCTGTCTAGGGTTAAAGTACAGATATGTGACTGACATATACATATCCATATATACATACACAAAGTTTGCAATAATCCACATCGAATCAACCAGTATTTTATCAATCGACATACAAACCTTAATAACTAAAAAAATCACGTATATATTTATTTTCTCTTCCCAATTACCTTTATGTAACCGATGTTTTTCATTACTGCAGTCGGATTAGATAGACGTATCCTCTTGGAGAACAGATTGCTCCCGTAAGCGAAATACAGAAACGTGTTGGACATTTTTCAAATCGTCCTGCAAACTTTTCCCAAAAATAGCAGAGTTTAAATACATGAACAACAGCGTTTCGTTACTTCAACCGGCACTGCTGCGGTTGTTTAAAACGAGACGCGTGACTCGCGAGCATATTATATATACATACCGTGTGTATCTACGAAAGATAAGGGTATCTCGTATGTAAACTGACAGGTTGTTAACAATAATCCCGCGGGGAGGAGGGAGCGTTCCGAGCGCGAGGCGCGCTCCCCGCTTCCCGCGAGCGCCGCGCCGTTTCGGTCTCTGCACTCTCTGCAGTCTCTCCGCCGGTGGCACCGACTATTATCTATCCAACTCCGCGGTGTTTGACAACTCCGCGGTTATTCCCGTATTTCCCGTTCGAAGGATACCCCGGCCGCGTCGGTAAATCCCGGCCGATTGATTTGACGCTCCGAGCCGACCGACCGACCGACCGTACGACCGCATCCGACGACTGGAGCGTTCGGTCGTTTCTCTTTTTTCCTCTCTCTGACTCTCTCTCTCACTCTCTCTCTCTTCCCAATCGCGCACCACCGTGGCGATCATCGCTGACACCCGCGCGGCTGCACTCGGCGCACTTCGCGGAGAGGCACTCACGAGATACTCGACGGCGACGGGACGGGGCCCCGCCGCGCGGCACACGGGACGTTTCGCGGGACAATGCCGCGGGAGTAGCGCGGCGGTGTTTCTCCATAACCTAGAGTCGTAAATCGTGCGGAGGTAAGGCAGCCCCCCCCTCCCCCGCCCCCGCTCCCCCCTCGATGCCACACACGCCAGCAGAGGCACGTTTACGCGGACGCCGCGTCGCCGTACCCCCGGTTTATCGCGTGTGCCCCCCGCGTCTGGTCTTCCCTCGGGCGCTCCGATAACGCCCGCGTTCCCCGGAGCCGTCGATTGCCCCCCCCCCCCCCTTTTTGACAAGTCTCTTTGTCCCTTTACACTGCCTTCCCCGAATGACAAGTTCTTTCTTTTTTTTTTTTATTATTATGGCGCGAAAAAAACACGGAGTTCCTAAGGGACGAGCACGTGTGTTCTCCCCCGATTTTCAATTCTTTTTCGGCCGTTAGAACGAACGTTCCTGAGGGAAGCGGACTGCGCGATAACGTGATAAAACCATGATAATTTGAGAATATAAATAATAACTTGATTTATTTAATTTCAGTCGTGGGCGGAGATTATTAGAACTAGACTAGATTTTTAGAACTTGAATATATCCACCTTGTGTGAAATTGTACAATTTTGTATAAAAGTAATTTGTTTTAACGCGTTTGTTGAATTCATTGCTGACGAAAGGATGAATTATTTTTTTGATTTTCTTGATGTACATTGATCGTCGTGTTGTCATTGTACTGCGCACACACAGATCGTACGACTGTATGATTAGCTTTTTTGTTGAACAACGTTTTATGTCACAGATATGCCGCCGACGAAGAAGGGGGACCTGGATAAGTTAGCGTGGGCATGGGTAGAATCCGTCGGTCCAGACGAGATTGAGAAAACACATTTAGAATCTGCATATAGGATTGGATTAAAGAGCTGCAAAAACTGCAAGTAGGTTGGAAATTTATATTCCACGGGACGAAAGAGAATTTGTGTGAATGTATTATAATACTGTAACGTTTGCCGTAAATATATATTTTTTAATTAAGACGCGTCATCTTGCTGTTTCAGACGTAATTGCACCTATAATCCCCAATGTCTGACAGGTTTAGGAGAAGAAAAGTTTATGAAGTCCCAGCCGGCCGAGGTGGTGACGTTAGAAAGTTCCTTGTCCGAGTTACGCGATCCGACACAGTATGTTGGCTTAAAGAATCTAGGTGCTACTTGCTACGTCAATAGCTTAATCCAAATGTGGTTTCACAACGAAGACATGAGGTATGTATTGATTAAAACTCGAATCTTTCGCGTATGCGTTGCGTGTTATCTTGATAAATGTAATGCCAACAGGAGAATAATATACAAATGGGATATTACGGAAGATCCGGAGGAGAAGGAGGCGTTGTACCAGTCTAAGAAAGCGGGAATACCCTACCATCCGGTAACCGCGGTCGGCCAATTGCAGTACATTTTCGCAATGATGCACTTCGGCAATCGGAGCCTCCTCGACCCGATCAATCTCGCTATCGCGTTATCCCTGGATACCAGAACGCAACAAGACGCACAGGAATTCTCCAAGCTGCTATTGTGCCATATCGAAGGAAAGCTACAGCAAAACTCAGAGCTGAAGCCGATGCTGCAGAAGCTGACTCAGGGAAAATACAGCTATATCAATCGGTGGGTTTTCTGAAGTGGAACAATGAGAATTTTCCTAAGCGATGATGGTGCTGATGATCTTGACAGATGATAACATGGTAGGACACGTTGCTCGCTACGATGACTGGCGCGACCAACTGATCCGACGGAGAGAGAGATGACTTTTTAGTGGGTAATTAGAATTTTGTGTTTGTGACGCAGTTGCTCCACGTGCAGCACCGAGTATCCGACGTCCACCACATTCTACGAGTTGGATCTGCAGCTGGCGGCGACTCTGAAAGAGGCGATCGACAATTATTTGTCGGAGGAACAGCTGACGGGGGCGAACCAATACCACTGTGTTACTTGTAACGATAAGAAGGACGCCAGGCGATTTATACGACTGGAGTCCCTACCGGAGACTTTGAATATTCAGTTAATGCGCTTTGTATTCCACAGGTGAGTCTTGGGCTTTTATGAATTTTACGATAAACTGCAAGTTTGATCTGTCCGAAATAATGGCGCAGTTATTTACAACAGAGATTCCGGGCAGAAGAAAAAATTGAATTCGTATATACAGTTTCCCGAAGACCTCGATATGTCGGAATATGTTGGGTGTCAGCCTCAAACTCATCTGTACAGTCTGGTCGCTGTATTAAGCCACAAAGGTCCATCTGCACATTCTGGGCATTATATCGCGAATATATGTAATTCAAGCGGGGAGTGGTATCAATTTAGCGACGATAAAGTTGAAAAAATGCAGAATAAACGAATCGAGGATGGTGTAAATGGTATTTAATTTTTCATCACTCTGTATTTAATAGAAAAAAAATGAAGGAAATTTGTGGCTTCTCACATGCGAGAAGACAGAAAGTTAGTTTTTTTCTTTATTTTTGTATATAGATAAATCAATGAAACGTGGACGTGTTCCAAAAGGATTCCTGTCATCCAACACGGCTTATATGTTGGTTTATAAAAAGTTAACTGCAGATTGGCGAACAAATGGCACGAAGAAAGTGAAATTGAAGAAACTTGATACAGAGGTGAATGTTCCCAGTGATACCGTTTCTTCCGAGAAGCTTATAGTTAAAGAAAAATCGGATGAAACTTCGGACGAAACGAAACAGAAACCTGATATTGAAGACGCACCATCAATTCAAGAAGAAAATCCTGAAACGATACCAAAATCGGATTCGGAGAATGTAATAGAAACAGATGAAGATGCGATATCCAAAAAGACTGATATACCTACCACGGATAAGAGTGAAACTGAAAAGACTGTCGCTAGCACAAATGGATGTAAAGACACACACGATTCTACCTTGGAACAATTACAGAATAAAGTTCACTGTCTGAAACAGCCAGTGGTGAAAGTCGTTAAACTTGATTACAAACGACTGAATGGCGATGCGCACCGAGCTATGAGTTGCGGAGAACGTGATTTTTACGAAGAGGTAAGTTTTCTTTTAGATATAAATTCTTTTTAGATATTCCCTAGATTTTGTTTAACATTTGATTAAACGTATTTTTCTCTCTACAGATGGAATTTGAGAATTGGCAAGTAAGTAGCACGATGCGTGAACTTGTTAGACAAGAGAATGTTAAACATGAATTGAGCTTGTTAGCCGCACAACAAGAAAAAGTAAGCAAATATCGATTGTATTACGTAGAAACAATTCTAGAATTATTATATATTTTTTATGCTACATTACTTCCTTTTTTTTCAGCAAAAAGAAATTGAGGATCAGAATTCCAAACGGCAGCTCATAATAGATGTATATAATATAATTCAGTCAACAGTATCTTGGGATAATTATTATTGGATACCAACCGATTGGCTGTCGAAATGGTTGAACGGACATTCCTCTGCAGTCGACGTTCGTCCGATCGACAATTCCAATTTAATGTGCTCGCACTATCGACTCGATCCACTGAAAGTTAGCCGTATGAAATGCGTGCCGGAAGCAGCAGCCCAAATGCTTTACGACAAATATCAAGGAGGTCCACGATTAGATCAGACATTTTTGTGCGAAGTTTGCGTGAAACGACGCTGCAAATTACTGCGTTTTAAACTAGCGCTCGAACGAGATCACAAAGAAGTCGGGGAGTTAATTCGCACGTTTAAAGAATCGTAAGCTTCTCGTAATTTTTACGTTTGCTATAATACAAAAAAAAAACGTGAAGTAATAGCATCAATGATAATAACCGTGTGACGATATTTCTGTCGTTTTAGTCCCGAGACGAGCTATATAATCGGTACCGATTCACTGCGATCGTGGCGAAGATTAGCTATGGAAACGTTCCAAGAGGATGTAGAACAAAAGGTAGACGATTGTCAGGATACTCTGCAGGAGGAGAGCAAGTGTACGGACAAAGACGGCAGCGATTGCCCGAAGGAAGTCGAGGAGAACAAGGAGAATGAGGCTATCATAAACTTCAATGAAGACTTGCTGTGCGAACACAAGTCTCTCAAAACGGCAGACTCCAGTAGAAAAGTGATACCTCAAGAGGCATGGACGATTCTCAAAAAATATTTTCCAGACTCGAAGGAATATCCCGTTGGGTCGCCATCCTGTTCAATCTGCGAGGTAGATAAATCTCTCTTTCTCATATGTGCGAATAAGTTATTGAAATATTTTTTTTAGTATCTTTTAATTACATCTGTGTATTGTTGATTCTCAGGAGAGGATGGAAAATGCCCAAAGAGCGAAGAAAGACGACAAGATAAAGGCGAAGCAGCAGAAAGACGAGCTCACCGACTTGTACTACGGGAGGAATAGGAATGAAATCTCCAAGTGCGACGATCCCGAGAAATCCTTCTACATCGTTGAGAAGAGCTTCCTGGACGGCTGGCGTTCCTTCATTCGGTGAGCTTAAATTTTATGTTATTCATGTCAAATCGGTGGCATCGACGAAAAGCATTATAATTGCATATTTGAATGAATATGCATCGTAATAATCTCTCCATTTAGACAATATATTATTTTGTAAAAATTAAGTTTCACGTTTATGAATTAATTTTAATATAATTCAGGATTTTGACAATTTTATTTTCGAAAAAAGAAATTAATACACAAAGTAAATCTCCCGAGATAAGTTACCATTTTATGGTTACAATATGCTGTCGATATCTTACATTTGCAGACGTTACATTGTAATCTTGGCTGTTGGTAACTAACTGCGAGTGTTTTTTATACGTTCGTACGTAGCGATGACGCTAGTTGTCTTGAAAATTGCGTGCGTCGACACAATTTTTCAATCGCTCGCCACTATAATATTTTTTTGACATTTTTTCTAATATCAGTAAATAATATACGAGAAGATATTTAATAAAATGGGATGTTTGAGAGAAAGCGCATGTGTCGTAAATAGAAATTGCCATTGAGATAAAATCGTATCGAGTAAAAATATTTCATCAAATTGTAATTTAACTTGTCTATATAATTATCTACTTATGTTTCTTCTCAAATATTCGGATGCAAAGATAGTACCAAATTTGTGCCAGGTAAAATTAACGAAGAGATGGAGTATTTTTTAATCTTAGATTTTCTAAAATTCTAAGATAAATTTACTATTTTCCAATTTTAACATGTTGATGCGTTTGGAGAATATCTAATGTTTTATTGAGTTACAATTTAAACTACCCTGTACAATTATTTGCTCGCGTTCTTTTTCAAACGTTCTACATTCGAACGCGAATTTTTGTCTCGACTTTCCTCCTATGATCGCGAAATTTTTGCGAGAAACGCAGTGACGAGCGCTCGATCTCGCGATCTCGTCGACCGTGGTCGAAACCGGTTGTCGTAAACGTTGGAAAGGGAGGGTGAACGGGAAGGGTAGACATATCCGGGATGTATTAACGAGCTTTTCCTAATTATGAGAAAAAACTGGACCGCGCGATTAAGCTGGGCGGCGGTGGCGGGCTCCTTTCTCTCTCTCTCTCTCTCTTTCTCTTTTGCTCTCTCGTCCCTCGCTCGTGTGGCTGCGGGGGAGGGCCAGCATGGGAGAAAACTAATTGAAACCGCTTAACGACCCGCCGGCAAATGATACATCGACCCCGACGAAGGGCCACCGGTGTCTTAATATCGTTTCGCCTTCTTCCACGGTCAAGACCGTAAATGCAATTTGGACTCTCGCTCGATCTTCTTCGAGTTTCTACCTTTCTGATAACCGTCTCTCCCTAATCTACACTTCACTTGGGGAAAACGTCCCACGCACTTCTCAAGTACGCTCCCACCGGGAATGAATCTGAGCTATTTTCGCTCTTATTCTGTCCGTTGATAAAAAATATCTGCGAATTTAAAATATCAAACCGCTAAATACTCCAGATGGATGCACGATGCTTTACAGACCACACAATTTATTATTAATTAAATATCTGAACGCAAAGAAGTTAAAAGAGTGACGCCCAGAAAATCCCCTTTTTGAGCAGAAATAGAAAAATATTAAAAAAATATCATCAGGTTTAAGGTAATTTTTTACTGATTACAAATATGTATACTTTTATAACGTTGTTATGATCCGTTTTGGCTCAATAAAATAATAAATGTTAATTATTTTAGAATTAAGATCTATTGAAGTCAATTTCGAACTTTAGCTGCGCTCAACGTAGTGTTCGAAAATCGAATTCGGTTTAGCGCACACACTCTCTCTCGCATTGCAGTGCAACGTTTTTTTTTTAGGCCAAAAAGTTTCTATTTCTATATTTCTCGAACAATTCTGCGATTTTTTATATAATCAAATTCCAATTTTTGGTTGCAACTGCATTAACCTTTGTAACAGATATTGCGTCTTATCATTTTCTGCAACAATTCTTCCTTCAGCTTATCATCAGCAACAGCAGCAATCACTATTGACAAATTATAATAGGCAACTGGAATGTAACTGGAACTTTAATCTCTACAATATTTTAAAAACTTGATGTCGTAATGTAATAGTTTATTTGCAAATAATGATCTACTTTAAAAATTTTACCTTTCCAATGGTATCTTGTTCAGTTCAAAAAAATTTTTTTGTTTTTTAAAGGCGATTTTTAAGGACCATTTTGGACATCACGCTTTCTTCCGGTTATAACCAGATGTCAGATTTCTTTGCTGTGGCTTTCCGTCTTTTTTTTTATCGCGAAACGAGAATTAGAGGAACATCCTCGCTTTTATCGGACGCGTCCTTTTTCAAACAAAAGAGATTTTTTCTCTAAATATTTCAGAGGAGTATTAGTAGATTTTGCGGCGCGACTCTGCCCGAATATGATCTCGTAAATACGGGAGATCCTTCCGACAGTGAAAAAAAGTCTTTTAACATCCAGAACGGTATTATCCGTGCATGCCCTCCCTTATTATACATTCTCTCGCGCGGCGCGACACGTTGGGCTGGACACTTCGGATTGACAGATTCAAATTCGCCGGGGCTTAAATCTCGTGGATTCAACGGTGTGCAAGCTAAACCGGGATCAACCCTTCTCGCGGATTACACGTTTGTCGTGTCACGCGCGATTTCGGTATATACACGGTATACGCGAAGGGGTATGAAAACCACGAAATAAGTGGTTGGGTTCCCGTATTAAACAAGCAGTTACACGTGTAAGAAGGAGGATATACTGTAACGTTCTTCTCTCTTCGTGCGATGTAGATGAATACAGATTAATTACGTTTCTACGTGATAAATTTTCAACAGTGTCTTGGAAAATAATTCAATCTGGGCGTTCATAGAGTTAAAAAGTCTGTTCTATCCAATTTTGATTTGGAGAGACTGCACGTACAGAAAAACTTATAATTCGCTACTTCGTCCCCATTCCTTGAGATTGCGAGTGTCCATGATCCATTATCGAGAATTTGCTATTAACCGAGGGAGAGAAAATGTGAAAAATATTTTTCCGGACCGCTGGCATTGTCTTCGACCGACTCCTTTGTGACGTCGGTGATTAATTTTTCAGCAGGTCGGGCATGCCGCCCCTTTTTTGCGCCACCACTGCCAGTATAATCGTTCTTTGTATTTTTCGAACAAAACTCCATAGTTCGTTGCTTCCATTACACATAGTTATATTATATAGTGCATAGTATACTTTTTGCAATACCTGAAATATAAAATTACTCATCATATACATATATATCTTGTATATTAAATTTTCTATATTTATACTAGGTATTCTAGAGTTACGTGCACATGAAAGCATGCATTTTTATTTCTTTCATCGTGCATTATCAGTTTGAGTAATTTCAAATAATAGTTTTGTTTATTTAAAAGCATAGAGAAGCAATTTTTCGACAAGTAGGTAATCTTTCGCTCAAAGATATAAAAATTAACATTATTAGCAACTAAGTTTATATAATTTTATTTTGAAAGTTTACTCGTATTGTACCATGACTACCATGTACGACGTGTAAATCGAGTGTTTTCTTACTTTTGATCGATATCTGTCCACTTTCGGAAGGCATAGAAATTATCTCCTTTCATCTCTCACGATAAGCAATCGTTTGCTTCCTCCACTACCTCTTTTATCGATAATTAGGTAAGACTCGCTAATCGGGCGCGTTGGAAACCTCCGCGGCCTTATAGGAGAACAAATGGTGGCGAGAATTGCAATCCGTTTAACTAGCTTCAAACAAAGTCCCCCGCCAATCCGTCAACGTCGCTCGGATGGATCTTCGAAAGGATTAGGATTTGCATAAACGATCATTCAACTTCCACTTGACGCCACTCATTCTTTCTTTTGGCGCGTGGATATTCCCCGCGACATTGGCGATTTAAAAACCTACACTTCGTAAATGAGCCGTGAGATGGGAACTGTTGATTATAATATTATTAATTTTTCATTCGAGAAATGCACTTTCTTTACTCTTTTCGATATGTCGGGCATAAAGATATAATTAATTACGAAACAATAAATAGACACAGTAGTATAGCGAGATATTTAATTCTACATCCACGAAGTTTATATTATACAAAGCCTGCTATGAATTTGCTGCATTTTTAATGACATAATACAACTATTTTGAATTCAAATTATGATTACGAATATTAAAATCATTCATTTTTCAAATGTATCAGATATTTATGATAAATTATTCTATATATATGTACAATTTTATTCGTGAAAGATCGATTAATTTTCCGTTCTTCTGACAAAACGCACGAGTACGATGCTTATTGCACCTGAATATGCAAGCTTTCTCGTGATGTCGGCGCCCATCGGGCCGCCACGCGTCCCCAACCTGACTTTCGCACTTCGGTAAATAATTATTAATGATCATGCTCGGGGAAAATGTGACCGCGATCTTGTTGACACCGCATTGTAACACCGCGGACAATAGTGCCGTCGTCGATGGGTCTCGAAAGCGTGCGCCGCGCGAGGCTGACGCAGAAAGGAGAAGGTGGAGGTGGAGGAGAAAGGTGGTCGGGGAAGGGCAGAGGCCATAATTAATAACTGGGAATTGATTAAGGTGCCAGATAAGTCCATGGAGCCGGTAGCTTGTGTCTCTCGTCTCTCCTCGTCCTTCTCGCGCTCCCTACCTCGGCTGTCTCTCGCGCGACGCGCGCGTTACGATATGATTAATAATTTCAAGATAACGCCGTCGTCCCCGCAGAGTCCCTAACATCGTCGTCGTCGTCCCTCCGCGAAGGACCGATTTGCGGCCCCACTTACGGTCTCATAAATGACTAATTATTCTCGCCGTCCTTCGTCCAGCTCGCCATCGGTGGCCATTTACGCCGGCTAGGCTGTCTGGCGCTCGAACGCAAATCTTCCGCGCGCACAAATCCACTCAAAGACTCAATTTTCTCCCCGAGAAGAGTACGCGACGTGTTTTTTGTTTTTTGTTATTTTTTTGCGCTCTCGTTCATCGGTCGACGACAATCGGCTGATTCGCCC